TTTTTTTTTTTTTTTTTTTTTGGTGGTTTTATTTTTAAATCACAGTGATGGAGGACCTACTGGTATTAATGGGTGAACCAAGGGTTCTACACGGTGCCTGACAGGCTTGCCCAGTAAAAAGCTGTCCCTTGTCTTCCATCATTTTCAGAAATCCATGGACCACTTCTGTAGGTAAGAACAGGTTTGTAACTATCTGAGAAACTAAATTCATTTTATAAGTAGAAATACACATACAAGGGCTGGAGATGTAGCTCAGCTGTAGAGTGGTTGCCTAATTTGTGTAAAGCCCTAGGTTCCATTCCCAACACTGCCCAAATGGATAGAAGTAAGAAGGACAGTATCTGTTTAAGTCAAAGGAAGACAACTTTCTTCTGTTTGGAACTGTGCCATTTTGGAAAACCCTAATACAGCTGGCCACCCTCGCACAATGTGAATCACAAATAAACTCACCTGTCCACCTGCATTTACAGGTGTTCGTTCTTGGAGCCCTTCCGTGTTAGCGCAAACATAGGACAACTGTAGCATGATCACATCGCTAAGCCTTCTGGCAAAGCCCAATCCAAGGCTGTACACATGGATGTATTTGTTATTTTAAAATATTTTTAAGCTAGGAGTAATGGCACACATTTGCAATCCCAGTTACTTGGCAGGCTGAGGCAGGAAAATCACAACTTTGAATCCAGCAGTGCAACTTAGTGATTTAACAAGACCCTTTCTTAAAAAAAAAAAAAAAAAAGGCCTGAGGATGCAGTGACAGGACCCTGGCTTGCTTTCTTTCTTTTGATACCGGGGATTGAACTCGGGTCCTTGCGTTTGTGAGGCTGCTGCCGGAACCACTGAGCTAAATCCCTGGCCCAAGACTGTGGCTTTAATTCACAGTACCAGGAAAGGAAGGAAGAAAAGAAGCCAGCCAGAGGTGTAGTTCAGTGGGAGAGGTGAGTTTGATCCCAGGAGAAAAAGAATTAAATGATATAATACAGAGAAGTGCACAAATCCTAACTGATTTTCAGGAAGTAAACACAACCACATAACTAGTACCCAGGTCAACAAACTAAAACATATTTACTTACCCTCAAAATAACTACTGTGTCCTGGTGACTCCGCGAATAACACAGCAGGAAGTATTTCGCTGCCTTATAAAGAGGGGGGAGCACTGAAATGCCAGCCCCTGGGGCCAATGCAGGAAGCAAGCTGGAGACCACCCTGGACTACACAGTGAGACCCTGTCTCCAAAACACCCAAATAAGTAGGATAATGGGCAGCTCAGCCGGCCCCCCGACCCCGACTCTTCTTGGGGCGGGGGCAGACAGCAGCAGTGGCAGTCTGCTTCTCGGGAGCTGCTGCCCCAGCACGGCCTCCCTCCCTGAGCACCAGGGCTAGCAGCCTTTGCAGCCATCACCACCCGCTAGGCCCAAGTCCCGGCTCGGCTCGGGGATCAGCGCCTGACGCCGGCAGCCCGCCGACCCCGCGCTCCTCCCCCGGCCTTGTGCAGTGTGCTGTTCCTCACACCTGGGACAGCAGCCTTCAGGGTCCCTAAAGCAGCCCCGGCGCCAGGCCGCCAGTGTTACCATGGCAGGGAGAACAGCTCCGCGGAGGGCCCCTGGAGAAGGAAGTGGACGAGTCCCTCCGCGGCCGCGCGGTGTCCGATGGCTTTGGCAGGTCTCCTTGAGGCTGCGCAGCTGCCGGACTGCGCCCACGCGGCATGGAGAAAGCTGGGCAAAGACCGCTTCCGTGTCCTCCGCGGCAACAAGACACTGTCCCGAGAGGGCTGCACCGGCGTTCCTGTCCGGGTCCCCATCCATCGCACCGGGCCGCAGGGCAAAGTTCAAGTTCCCCGCGCCAGGGCATCCACGTGTCAAGAAGCAGGCCTCCTCTGGGGCTGCGGGGTGAAATAATGAACCGCAGTGCCTGACCTTACACTCCACACCTTCTAACAAGTTCATCGGTAAATATTATCTCTGCCCACATTAAAGCAAGTGGGTGTGGGCCCCACACCTGTAATCCCAGCAGGCGGAGACCGCCTGCAGATAGCCGTCTTCTGAAATATCTGCACAATGACAGTTCAGACTTTCAGAAATCGATTTTATTTCACCCTGAAAAACTAATATTTTTCTTGGTAATGGAGTAAATCTGGGCCCAATCAGGAAGGTGAAAACAAATGGTAAAGTGAACAAGGAAAAGTTTAATATAAAAATTATCAACTAGCTGGGTATGGTGGCACATCCAGCACTTTGGGAGGCTGAGGCAGGACCACAAGTTCAAACCCAGCCTGGCAAATTAGTGACATTGTAAGACCCTATCTCAAAATAAAAAAGGGCTAGGGATGTAGCTCTATGGGAAGGATCTGGGTTCCATCCCCAGTACCACACACAAAAAAAAATCAACTATAAGAGCCAGGTACAGCGGCATACCCTTGTAGTCTCAGGTACTCAGGAGGATGAGACAAGAGAATTAATTGAGCCTAGGAGTTTAAGACCAGAGTGAGACCCTATCTCCCCTCCCAGAGATAATTATATATATAATTTTACATTATATATTGTATATAAATTATTATTATATTATTGTTTATATATAATGTATAAATATAGTATATATATTAAAACTTTGTTTTGCAAGCATAATTCATCCCAAAACATGTAATCCAAAGCACTTGTATATCAAGGCAAATTTCTCCATAAGAAATAATGGAAACTCAAATGACTCATTCTACAACCTAAAAATAGTCATATAAAAATGATTACAATAGTGTAATATAATACAAAACATAAAGAAAAATAACCTACTCTCACCTTTGAAAACTTTCATGCTGGTATGAGGGAGACAAGAGAGTTAGCAAACATGTCTAATAAGTTTTAACTTGATGAATGAGCAGTGTCCTGCAGTATGAGTAGTACATGACGCCAAACATCACATGATCACAACTGGCTCTCTCTCGTTGCTTTCATATGTAAGTGCTTCACATTATGAGTAGAACTAACTATTCTTACAAACTGATATATACAGATATATAAACATTAAAAAGGAGGAAGAGGAGTAGTGGATCTTGTGTTATTTTCCTGGGTAGAGTCTTTTTTTTTCTTTTCTTTTTCTTTTGGTTTTTCACTATGTAGTTGAGATTGACCTGGAACTCATTATGTAGCCCAGGGTGGCCTCGAACTCACAGCAATCCTCCTGCCTCAGCCTCCTGGGTGCTAGGATTACAGGAGTGTGCCACCACACCCTGCTTTTCTAGGTAGAATCTCCCCTTGCTTCTTTTTAGCTTTCAGTACTTGCTGGCAGTCTTTAGCTTTCCCTAGATTGTGGGTGCATTTGTCCAATCTCAGCCTCTGTATCACATGGCATCCTCCTTTCTATGTGTCTGTGTCCAAATTTCCCTTTTCTTGAAACAACTCATCAGTCATTAAGGCCATGCTAATCCACTATGACTTTATTTATTTATTTATTTTTTGGTACCAGGGATTGAACTTGGTACCATGAGCTTGAGAGGCAGGCAGTGGAACCACTGAGCTAAATCCCCAGACCCCACTATGACTTCATTTTAGCTTTATTACATCTGCAGTTTTTTATTTCCAAATAAGGTCAAATTTGCAAGAACTGAGGGGGATGGGGCATGGTCTTACAGGACTGTAATCCCAGCATTTGGGATTCAGAGGCAGGAGGATTCCCTGAATTCTGGGCCAGCCTGGATACAATTTAAAAAAAAAAAAAAATGAAGGGAGGGCGTTAGGACTTAAACACTTCTTTGGGATAGGAACAAAATTCTGCCCATGACAAGCAGTAAGAAGTAAAGAGAGAGCCGGGGATTTAGCTCAATGGTTCTGCTGCCTGCCTCCAAAGTACAAGGTCCTGAATAGTAGATATAGTGGATACAAGGAGTGACCACTATTCCTCAAGCTTAGATTGAATGTACAAGAAAAAGCCTCCATCTTTCTTTTTGGAGAGGACAAATAATTCCCAAGATGTTACTCTGGTGGGAATTTGTGGAAAATTTCCCTCTAGGGTGCAAGGGAAAGTTGTCCACTGGTAGGTGTCTTCCCAGAGGCACTCCACTACAATGGCATGGACGGATGGTACCACGGGAGCTGCTGGCCACCATGATGGGTCCTGGAGAAGCTGCCTGTGCTGCAGAAGGTGGGGGCTGGGGAATCCGTTATACTTCAGAGCCTGTCAGGAGTGCTCCACGCAGTCAGGAAGCAAAACTTTCTTCTGGGCTAAGGATGTGCTCCATTTGATCTTCAGCACCAGAAAACAAACAGGAAAAACACCCTTTTGTCCTGCATGCTCTCCTAGCCAGTCTACTGCCAAACGAACATAATACCAGCTGGTAAAGACATATTTAAAGGGCCTAGATCTATTTTTACTGAGCAAGAAGAAAGGCGAATGTAAGGGCTAGGGACGTAGCTCAGTAGTAGAGCACTTGCCTAGCAAGAGCGCAGTAGGTAGGAGTTGAAATGGGAATCACAGAAAGAGCAAAAGTGATTTCTGTGAGACTCAGAGGGTTCACCCTTTCTGGCCTGGGCTCAAGGGCATAACTGCCAAAGTCTACCTTAGAGTTAAACTTGTTTTATTCTAGTACCTCAAGTTAGGGTTCCAGGGATGGGCTTTCCCTACCAGTCTCAACTTCAGGCCTTTTCAGTAGGGTACTTCTTTTGCCCTTGGTGTTATTTATTTCTTTTGGTATGGGAGATTGAACTCAGGACTTTGTGCTTGCAAGGCAGGCAGTGGCACCACTGAGCTACATCCCTAGCCCTGCCCTTGGTGTTGTTAAAACTTCAGGCAACCTAGAGAATCAAAACTCACCAGCCAAGCTGGGCATGGTGACACATGCCTGTAATCCCAGCACTCCGGAGGCTGAGGCAAGAGGATCGCTGCGAGTTCAAGACTAGCCTGGGCTACATAGTGAGTTCTAGTACAGTCTCAACTACATAGTGAGCCCCTGGCTCAAAAACAAAACAAAACAAACAAACAAACAAAAAACCAAAACCAAAACCAAAAACAACAAAAAGAAACAAAACTCAACAGCCATCAGCCAGGGATTTAGCTCAGTAGTATCACCACCTGCCTCGAAATCTCAAGGATCCAAGTTTGTTCCCTGGTACCAAAACAAAACAAAAAAAAAACAAAAAAAAAAACAAAAAAAAAAACCTCACCAGCCAGCATGGTGATGCACACTTGGAATCCCAGCACTTGAGAGGCTGATGCAGGACTGCTAGAGTTCAAGGCCAGCCTGAACTACATGGTGAGACCCTGTCTCAAAAAAACAAATTAAAAAAAACCTTCACATTGTTTTCTCTGCTCCTGAGGCTTTTGCTCTGGGTCCCAGAAGGACTAGTGTGTTTAAACTCTCAATGTGTCAAGGTTGAGACTACTGTCCCCAAGCACTCCCAGCTGGATAAGGCATCACCACCCAGCCAGCCCTGCTCCAGAGGGACAGAAAACACCACTAGCTAGAAAAGCTGCTGCCTGTCCCACCAGAAGTCTCATGAAGAACTCTTGTCACAGGGACATTGTAGTCCTAGGACACTGTAGGTACATTTCAATTTAGAAGAGTCCTTAGAGACAGAGTAGGGGAAATCTTCACTTTTCAACATAGATTGTTACACATTCTGTTTTTTGTTTTTTGGTTTTTTTTTAATGCCATACTTTCTGTTTCTTTACTTTCATTACTCAATTCCTTGAGAGAGAAATATTCTAGGCTGGGAAATGTCACTGCATCCTGAGATTTTAT